GGGGCGGCATAGAAATGTTTTAAATAAATAAATAATATTCATAGCCAGGAATCCTTCTTGCAGTGGCATGTGCATTGCTTAGAAGAGATGGTTCTCTGAGGAAGATTCTCAGTTCATTTCTTCTCTTGCCATCCCTGCAGTGTGAATTCACCTTTACTAGATTCCTATCAGCCATGGTATCATCTTCATTGCTTTCTGGACCATACTGTCCTGGTTCGTTTCAACCAAGTTTCTGACCCTGCTCCAGCCTCCATCTTCCAACCCTTCCAGATTTCCTACTGCCCCTAGTTTTATCAGTAATAAGCCTAATCTTATGGCCCATAATCTACATGAACTAATTCTTTTGCTGCAACTGATTTTCCAGAACTTTATTTGAGCAGAGTCCCCACTGCAATCCATTATATTCAAACAAGGGCAGGTGTGGTGTTGCATTTAGAGTAATGGACTAGGGACCTGGGAGATCCAGGTTCTAGTCACGATTCAGTCATGAAGTTCACTAGATGACTTTTGGACCAGTCATTCACTCTTAGTCTAACCTACTTTACAAGGTTTTTTTAAAGATAAAATAGAGCTATATAAGCATTCTTCAGTTCTTCACAAGATAAAAACAAGCAGCATATAAATACAGTGGAAAAAATTGTATTAATAGTAAGCCATTTCTTCCCTATCTGCACTAGAAAGTGATACTTCACTCCCAAATTGCTGAAAGTTCCATCAATATCTCTTTCAAATACATACATAGCTCTATTTGGCATCATTCTTCTCATTAGAGGACAGCTGCACAAACTAGAGCAGATGACCTTCCTACTTCTAAGTGATGTTTCATAGTGTGCAAGATTCTCTTCCGGCATGTTTTTAAATTAGAGATCAGCCCCCAAACAGTCAAGGGTTTGATAATACTTACAACAAAGATAATACTTACAGCAAAGAATAGAAGTATTTTATTCTTCTCCAGTTCTGAATAAAATACCTTACTCAAATGTCCCCCACCAGCACTTTTCCCCAGGCTTACTGAATAACCACCAGGACAAACCAATGAAAAGATTTCTCCTTTGCTTTGCCTAGAAGATTTTAGCTTAAAGTTCCCCGACTCTTTCACATAACACCCTAGCAAAGCAACAAAGAAAGGGTTCCATTGTATTGAACAGCTCCCTCCAAGAAAACTCAGGTGTACTGACAAAATTCCATCTCTCCACAAGGTAACATCTTGCCCCCTGGATAAGATGAGC